CAATTGCGAGGTTGGCTCAGGATTGGGCAGTGTTTTGTTCTTTTGTGCACAGGGTTGCTATGAGTCAGAGCCAACTTGATGGCACCTGACAACAACATCATTATGAACTCTGAAGCCAGATTACCAAGTATAAATCCTGGCTTCACTACTTGGTGACTATGTGTCAAGTTACATCACCCCTCTGTATCTTCAGTTTACTCATCTGCAAAATGGGTCATTTCCTATCTCAAAGGGTGTGTGATTAAAGTGCTTATAAAAATCAATGGTGGTGGTAGTGGTGGTGTGCCATCGAAAGGGTCTGACTCATAGTGGCCCTGTACAGGGTTTCCAAGGCTATAATCTTTATGGAAACAGAAAGCCTCATCTTTCTCCTATGGAGTGATTGGTAAATTAAAACTGTTGACCTTGCAGGTAACAGCCCATCGCAAACCCACTAAGCTTCCAGGGCTCTTTATAACAACGAATGTTGCTAAGTGCTGTTGAGTTGGTTCCGACTTATAGCGATCCTGTACAGGGTTTCTGAGGAGTGGTTGGTGAATTTGAACCACTGACCTTGTGATTCACACCGACCTTGTTGCTCCGTGCTTAGCCTACAGCGCCACCCTAGTGTTTCTTATAACAGTTAAAGGCATATATTAAATGTTCAATAAATATTAGCTCTTATTCCATCCCTTTCTTCTCCAGTTTTTTTTTTTTTTTTTTTTTTAATTTGTAAAATGTGACATTTGCATAGCTGACTGCACTCTTAAACACAGGCAAGTTCTTTCCAGCCACACAGGTAACTCCACTTCCCTGACTAGTTACCACTGTAGGAATGGGAATGTGGTACAATTCTGGCCAAGGAGATACGAACCTCTGGTGGTGGGGGAAGGATTCTTCCTAAAAGAAGTGCATTAGAAGAAAAGGTTTCTTTTCTTCTTCGAATGATGCCATTCTTGGCACTGTGAAGGGACTGGAAGAAACAGGGAAACAGTAAAGACATTGTTGTAGCTTGAGGGTTTCATTTAGAACCCAGAATAGACAAAGCATCTAGTAAACATCTCAAATTACCCAGTCTTTCCAGAGTAATACTATGGGGTAAGGTCTCTGGGACCCAGCCCTGGCTGGAGAAGTCCCCTTTGATCTCTAGTTTGGGCAATATGATAGACTGGACATATTTTAATGGTACTGTTATACACCAGATGGTATATAAATCATAGTAGATGGGCTTTTAAAATTCTACTCAAGAATATGATTACTAAGATGAAAACTTAGAATTTCAAGAGCTCTTGTACTATAAACTAGACTGTTCGACTTTTATAAATTGTAACCACTGAACAAAAGGTCTGCTTTTGAAAATTTGTATTTTAAAAATCTTTAATTGCAAAAGAAATAACTAACTTTTCTTTCAAAAAGTAGAATGCAAACTGCAAAAGTATCCACCATCCTCTGAGTCCAACTCTCTTAGGGATGCAAAACCAAACAACAAACTCACTGCCAGAGTCAATTCCAGCTCACAGGGCTCCTGCAGGATGCATGCAGCAGAACTGCTCCAAGGGATTGCCAAGGCTGCACAGCGGACCTCGCCTTTCTCCCTCACAGTAGCTTCTCCATTTAACTGCCAATCTTTCCGTTAGCAACCCAGTGTTTAACCCACTGCACCAACAAAGTGCCTTCCATTAAGGATGTTGTTGTTAAGTGCTGTTGAGTCGATTCTGACTCATAGTGACCCTGTATAGGGTTTCTGAGAAGCAGCTAGTGGGTTTGAACTGCTGACCTTGTGGTTCGCAGCCCAGTGCTTACTTCACAATGCCACACTGGGACTCCACACACATACTTAGATACACTTTTATCCATACCAAAAACAAAAAGGTGGAGAAAGATGAGGCTTTCTGCTCCCATAAAATTTTACAGCCTCGGAAACCCTGTACAGGGTTGCTATGAGTTGGAACTGACTCCACGGCACATAACCACCACCACCACCATACATATAACACATACTAGAAATAGATATGCATATATGTGTGTATCATGCATCCACTCATAGATAAGTAGTTTTTATTTATTTAATAAGACCAAGATTTTACATTGACATTGCCCAGGAGTTTTTTCATTTACTCACATGTACAATTTCCCATGTTGGTACAAATATTCCTGAATGACCCATACTCTAAATATTTATGAACTAATAAAGCCAAATATGTCACTTCATCTAGCCTATTTTAGAATGAGAAAGATAGAGTAGTCTAAGAAAGTTATAATGGAACTCTAACATTCTTGCCAGTTGACAAACATTACAACATATCAGGTGAGTTTATCTTGATCATTTCCACTGCTCTTTCAAACAAAGAAAAATAAATGATTTAAAATGTCTTTACACTTTGATTAATAGGCAAACAATTCCAGGTGCTTTCTTTTCAGGCACTTAAAAATAATTTATATGAATAAACAGAGTAAGCACATACTACCAATTTAAAAAGTTGCCAACTACATGTAATCCAAGCTAAGTCTTCCTTTCACCTTGGCTCCCTAGCCTATAATTTCTCTACCCAAAGCTACTATTAACCAGATTATTCTGTATTATAAAGGTATCTAAGATTCTATGTATTTGAAATCATAAACTATCAAAATTCAAGAATTTACTAGAGCAATTTTTATTTCAATTTTTACTTCTCTACCCAAAATAATTGAAAACACCATGGCTTGGGTCAGGCGCACCTTAGTCCTCAAGCTGACATCTTTGCTCTTCAACACTTTAAAAAAAGTCTTGAGCAGCAGATTTGCCTAATGCAATATGTCGTCTGATTTCTTGACTGCTGCTTTCATGAGTGTTGATAGCTGATCCAAGAGGAATGAAGTCCTTGATAACTTCAATCTTTTCTCTATTGATAAGAATGTTGTTTATTGGTCCAGTGGTGAGGATTTTTGTTTTCTTTACATTGAGATGTAATCCATACTGATGGCTGTGCTCTTTGATCTTCAGCAGTAAATGTTTTTACAGTCCTCTTCACTTTCAGCAAACAAAGTTGTATCATCTGCATATCGCAGGTTGTTAATGAGTCTTCCTCCAATCCTGATGACAAGTTTTTCTTCATAGAACCCAGCTTCTTGGATTATTTGCTCAGCATACAGGTTGAATTAATATGGTGAAAGAATACAACCTTGTTGTACACCTTTCTTAATTTTAAAGTATTCAGCGTTCCCATGTTCTGTTCAAAGAACTTCTTCTTGGTGCACATACAGGATCAGTACCGACTTGATGGCACCTAACAACAGCAACCCAAAATGATGTAGCACTGATAAGCACTCCATCATAAAGTCAGATTATAAACACTCGATTAGTGGCAGTTCAAACTCACCAGCCACTTCTTGGAAACTCCATACAGGGGCGCTGAGTCAGAACTCATTCCCTAGCACACTACCACCACCACCCTAATTAGAGAGAAGATATAGCATTAGGTCACAGAGTCACATATGGCTTCTTTGGGTGAGTAGAAAATAATTTGACTATCAAATTACTCAGAGAAATTCTTAGGAAAATTGATAACACTCTTGAATAAATCTTTCTGAAAAAAAAAAAAAAAATCCTCTTCATGACAGGATTTAAATATCCTATTTAAAATAATCAGCCCTCAAATCAACACTTCATTCTTTGTTCTAAGACTTTGCATATTTAACAGTCTTTATAAACTAAAATGTCCATCACTCATCTGTCAGTTTGTCGTACTGTGGTGGCTTTTGAGTTGCTGTGATTCTGAAAGCTATGCCACCGGTATTTTAAATACCAACAGGGTCACCCATGGTGGACAGGTTTTAGATGAGCTTCCAGACACAGACAGATGAGGAAGAAAGAGTGACGAACTACTTCCGAATATTTAATTACTGAAAACCTTATGAATAGCAGAGAAACACTTTCAGATATAGTGCCGGAAAATGAGCCCCTCAGGTGGGAAGGTACTCAAAATGCGACTGGGGAAGAGCTGCCTCCTCAAGTAGAGTTGACCATGGTGATGCGAATGGAGTAAAGCCTGTGGGAGAAAAGCATGAGGGACCTTCATTTGCTGATGGGGCACAACTCAAAATGAAGAGATACAGCTGTAAACCTCTATTGAAAATTGGAACATGGAATGCACGAAGTATGAATCTGGGAAAATTGCAAGTTGTCAAAAATTAAACGGAATGCATAGACATTGAAGGTGGAGGGTCAGAGAAAAAGAGGAAGACCCCTAACGAGATGGATTGGCCAAGGAGCAGCATTGATGGACTCAAGTGTGGCAACAATAGTGAGGTTGGTCCAGGATTGGGCAGTGTTTTGTTCTGCTGTGCATAAGGTCGCTATGGGTCGGGGCCGACTCGATGGTACCTAACAACAACAACAACATAAACTAAATTTTATGAAATTCAAAGTAAACTTCTTTCATAATTTGATATGTTGATTTCAAGATACATCTTGAAATAAATTAGGAGGAGATATTGGGACTTTAAAATCTTAGTTAATTCAGAACCAGTTGTCCATGGATCATTCTTATATTAGTACCCTTGCTTCCATTAAGAAGTTACTGTTATTTATACAAAGGTGGGGGCTCCTGGTGTGGGGCTGTAGGATAAGCACTGGACCTCAAGGTCCGACTGAGTTGCAAGGTCAGCAGTTCAAACTCACCAGCCACTCCTTGGAAACCTATACTGGGTTGCTATAACTTGGAACTGACTGGATGCTCCTTAACAACAACAACAACAATACAAACGTAGAGATGTTGACTGAAAGTTTAAAGTATATGTTAGTAAGGAGAAAGACAGAGTCAATTTTGTTTAGTTCAAAAATGCTTTTATTTCAATGGCAAAAAAAGTATTGCTCTTACTATAACAGTTTAAAGAGTTACAGTTTTTCTTGCAATAAGCATAGATCTTAAGTAGCAACCCATGACATGTGTGTTAAAACAGGCACACCAGACCACACAAGATAAAATATGAACTGAGTAACATGAACAAATATCTAGATATATTACTAAGAAAACAGGGCTTTAGAATGTTAGTTCCTCACATTCTGCATAGAACTTCCAATGCTGATCCATTATATGGCATGGGAGAAATTCTTGATCACTGATTAACAGTACTTCATTTATTTGCAGATAATCTGATAAACTTTGCATTGGTCTTCTGGAAGTACCTGTTTTTTAAAAAAAGTCACCAAATTAAAAACTGACTTTGAAAACATAATATTTAAATGTAATGATTGTAAATCATTCACCCCAGTCAAGTCTATGTGATAGCACACAAAACAGGTTTACTGACCAGGACAGTCTTCATTCATTCCATTTTCGAGATCTGAGACAAGGTTATAAATCACCACTGGTTGATCTTTAGGGGGAGAGGCCTCCTTCTGACCTAAAAAACAAAGGAAGTTTGACAAGTAGTGCTAAGTCCAGTCAATGGGGAAAGAAGCATCTTTTTAATAAGTGGTACTGGGGAAATTTGATTTCTATATGCAAAAAGGTGAGACGAGCCCCATGCCTCATACCATACACAAAAGTGAATTTAGAACAAAAACTGTAAGATTCTTAGAAGAAAACATGACTGTGGGACCTAGTATTTCACAATGGATTATCAGTGATGATAATAAAAACACAAACAACACAAGACAAAACCGATAACAGGAACCTCAGAAAATGTAAACATATGTTTTCATCAAAGTATTTCATCAACAAAGTTAAGAGACAGATAAAGCAGAAAAATTTGGGGAGCCATTTTTTTCTGGTAACAATCTAATACTCAAAAAATGCTAAAATAAAAGCAAACACATAAAAACCTCCTACAATTCAACAACAACAGCAAAAACCGTACAACCCAATAGAGAAATAGACAAAGGACTCGAACTGTTCACCAAAGAAGACACTCAGATGTCCAACAAACACATGGAAATCAACCCAGTGTCACTAACCATTGTTGTTGTTGGATTTCTACTTATAGCAAACTCAAATGACAACATGACGCTGCATGGTATGATTTTCTAGGCTTTAATCTTTTATTTAATTTTTAACTTTTTATTGTGAATTGAGTGAAGGGTTACAGACCAGATCATCAGTTTTACACTCAATAAAGAATACACTTTGTTTCAGTCTCAATGACTGCAATCCCTTGTGGAACACAGTTAGCCACTTCCTCAAGTGGCTCCTATTTCCATACCACCCACCCTTCTCACCATACCATCCCTTCTCACCACTGTCCTTAGGTATATGTTGCTCCTTTAGTTCCGAATGATTGACCGTTCCATTATTCATACTGAGCATATCTTACTAGTGTTTGGTGTTGCCCCTTTATACCTACCTATCTATGCTTGGCTGAAAGTTGTTCCCTATATATACCCGTTGTGAATCAGCACTGGACTGCAGCACAAGGTTGCCAGTTCAAAACCACCCAGCTGCTCCTCGGAAACCCTGTACTGGGTTGCTATGAGTCAGAACCGACTCATCGGCATTGAACAACAAGAACTGTTTGACTGAAAGAGGGTGTGTTCCTTTCCAGATCTGAAGGGTGGCTGAGGGCCAGTCTCAGGTTCCTCCAGTCTAACTAGTAAGCCCGTTCTTTAAAAAAAAAAAAAGAAAAAGAAAAAGAAAAAGAAAAAAGTTGCGTTTTGTTCCATATTATGCCACTTTATCCAGGACCTTCTAATGTGATCCCTTTCAGAGCAGTTGGTAGCCAGGCACTATCTAGTTCTTCTGGTCTCCAAGTTGTGGAGACTGATATTCACAGTTCCGTTAGTCCAATGAACTAACTGATTCCAAACATCTTCAGTTCTAATCATTCTTCTTTCTTCTGCACATGGAGAGACTAATAGCTGTACCTTAGCTGACCACTCAAGAGCTTTTAATATCCCAGACACTACTCCTCAAAGTAGGATGTACAACATTTGTAGACTATGTTGTACCAATTGAACATGGTGTCCCTTAAGACTATGGTCCTGAGCTCCCAGACTCAGCTACTCATTGCTTTAAGATGTCTGATAATACCTAAATTTTCATCATTTTGCCCACTGTATGCACCACCACATTCATAATTATGTTTTCAGGAAAGAAAAAATAATCATGTACCAATATCAATATCCCCTTTCACACTCTTGTATATCTGTGGGACATAGAAATTCCTTCAGCATGTGTCTGTGTCCATGTATCTACCTACAGAATATTGTTGTTCCAAGGTAGTTCAAATTCACCAACCTCTCCTTGGAAACCCTACACTAGGTTGCTATGAGTCAGAACCGACTCAATGGCACTGAACAACAACCAGGTTATGTATGAGTATATCACCATTTACCTCTATCCCCTTTAGCCATGGTATATCCCAGTCTGCATCATATTCTGGCATCCTCACCCTTCTTGTATATTTTCTCTTTTTTTGCTTTCCCCGTCACCTGAGTTAACATGCATCTACCCATTAGCCAGTGAACTACTCTCCCTTCCCTCCCACCCCTGGCAACCACCAACGAATGTTTCTTTTTTCTTTTTCAAATTCTTACATACTTGTAGAATATAAAAATATATTGGGTCTCACTCATCTTCCCTTACCCATTTGATCTATGTCTTAATCCATGTATCTACACACAGAATACTGTTGTTCCAAGGTTGTGCATATATCACTATTTACACATCTATTTCCTTTAGCCCATGCATACTTCCCTGTGTCTTCAGCTATCTTCATTATTCTTCTGACATCCTTCCTCTTTATGTACACTGCCCTTCCCGTTCTTGTATATTGCCCTGTCACCCAAGCTAACAAGCTAGCTTGTGAATTACTCTCCCTTACCTCCCACACCTGGTAACCATCAAAGAAAGTTTCTTTTCATCTGGAAACCTTTTCTTAAGCTTTTATAATAATGATCTCATACAATATTTGTCCTTTTGTGACTGAACAATTTCACTTAGCATAAGGCCCTTCTGGTTCATCCAAGTTATGAGTTGTTTGGTAGCTTCATCGTTATTCATCAGGGTTATATATAGTATTCAATTGTGTATGTACCAAATTTTGTTTATCCATTCTTCTACTGATGGACACTTAGGCTGTCTCCATCTTTTTGCTATTGTGAATTGTACTACGATGAACACCAGTGTGTGTATATCTACTAATGTCCTGGCTCATATTTCTTATGGATATATACCAAGTGGAGGGATTGCTGGGTCATAAGGTATTTCTATTTCCAACTTCTGAGGAAGCGCCAAACGGTTCTCCAGAGTGGTTGAACTATTTTACAGTCTCACCTGCAATGTAGGAGGATCCCAGTCTCCTCGCATCCTCGCCAACATTTGCTGTCAATGTTGGTGTGAGATGGTATCTCATTGTTGTTTTGATTTTCATCTCTCTAATGGCTAATGATTGTGAACATTTCTTCATATGTTTGTTGGTTGCCTGGATGTCTTCTATTCATGTCCTCTGCCCATTTTTTAATTGGGCTTTCTTTTCCTTGTAGAGGTGTTGTTGTTTTCTATAAATTTTGGATATCAGTTCTTTGTCTGATATGTTAATTGTACAAATTTTTTTCCCCAGTCTGTGGGCTCCCTTATGACTCTTTTGGCAAGACCTTCTGATGTACATGCATTTCTAATTTTTAGGAGTTCCCACTCATCTGTTTTGTCTTCTTCTGTTTCTGTTTTTTGGATTGTTGGATAGTGTATGTCTGCCATGTATTAAAGTCCCTAAGTTTGTTCCTAGTGTTTCATTGATTACCATGGACCTTGTGGTTTATAGTCCAGTGTTTATGCAAATCAAAACCATAATAATATACTACTGTGCCCCCAAAAGAATGGCACTGACCGAAAAAAAGGAAAATAAGACGTGTTGGAGAGGATGTAGAGAAATTGAAACATTCACCCATTACTGGTGGGAATGCAAAATGGTACAGCTTCGTTTGGCTGTTCCTCACAATGCTAAACATGGAACAAATGGAGGGTCAGCGAAAAAGAGGAAGACCCCCAACAAGACAGATTGGCACAGTGGCAGCAGCAGTGGGCTCGAGCGTAACACCAATATTGAGAATGGCAAAGGACAAAGCATTGTTTCGGGCAACGGCACCTTGTTGAACAACATGTTGTTGTTAAGTACAGTTGAATCAATTCTCACACATAGTGACCCTATGTAGGGTTTCCAAGATATGACCCAGTAATTACAATCTTAGACATACGTCTTCAGAAAGCTCATAAAAAATGCTTATTATGAAAAAACAATGCATGGATTGTAAAACTATATGCATCAAAGTAAACTGTACTAACTAGATAGAAAATGTCTGAACAGGATCTGGTTTGAGGCACAAAGAAGTATAAGACATTAGTCAGTCTTCTGTCAATTTCTAGAACCTTGTTTTTCACTAATGCCTTCAGTGCAACTTGGGCTTCTTCTTTCATACCACTGGTTCTTGATCATATGCTATCTCCTGAAATGGTTGAATGTCCACCAATTCTGTTACAGTGACTGTGTATTCCTTCCATCTTCTTGAGATGCTTCCTGCATCGCTCAATTATTTTGTCCAGGCTGTTGTTGTTGTTAAATGCCTTCAAGTAGGTTCCAACTCATAGCAACATACAGGGTTTCCAAGGAGTGGCTGGTGAGCTTGAACCTCCAACCTTGTCATTCAAACCAACCTTTCAGTTCAATGCATTAACCCACAGCGCCACACCAGGGCTCCATTTTGCCTACATTGTTGTTGTTATTAAGTGCCATCAAGTCGGTTCCGACCCATAGCGACCCTGAATAGGGTTTCCAAGACTGTAAATCTTTACGGGAGCAGAAAGCCTAATCTTTCTCCCGCGGAGCAGCTGGTAGTTTTGAACTGCTGACCTTGCCGTTCACAGCCTGATTTGTAACCACTACGCTACCAGAGCTCCTTATTTGCCTATAGAATCCTTCAATATTGCAATGCAAGGCTTGGATTTTTTTTTTTTCTTTCAGCTAGCACATTAGCCCCTTTTGGTTTTCTAACTCTAGGTCTCTGCACATTTCATAATGATAGTTTACTTTGTATTCTCAAGCTGTCCTTTGAGTTTTCTGTTCAGCTCTTGAGAGTTATCCTTTCTTTAACTTGCTTTAGCTATTCTATGTTCAAGAGCATGTTTTAGTGTCTTTCTGACATCCACTTTGGTTTTTCTTTCTTTCTTGCCTTTTTGTGGCCTTTTTATTCCT